AGAGCGTAGGCTGTGTCCAGTTGGGTCGCTACTGGCAACAGAGCTCGATCAAATCCACAGCTGAACTAGGGTGGAGCGCTAAAAGGAGGATTCTTTGATAAGTCGAAGGTCGAAGAAGGGGAAACTTACCCAGTGGAAAGACAGGCGGACTCCTAAGGGTGCGGACCGACACGCAATTCGCAGCGAAGGATATGCCCCGGCGATCTAGCATGGCCTTCCCACGGCGCTATTGGCGCGCTATCGGCACGGTACGCCCCCTTTTCGCTGTCTGAGACTCTAGTCCTGAGAGAACGTTAGCGTTGAAGAGGGCAGCACCGGTGAGATCCGCACCATTCAAAATCAACGGACAAGGAAGGGCCCCATTTCTTGGGTTCTGGGCCGGTTTCATGGATTTTTCTTCACCACGGCACCACTGACCATCTCGTGATTCCAATGAGTTGTCTCCCAATCGTGAACTTAGCCTTCAAGGTTCAGGGTTTAAGGTTTAAGTGAAGAAATTAGTGCGCTAGAGTTTTCGATTATCTGTGTAGTGAACAGAAGAACCTGTACAATCTAAAATCAAGACAATTTTATTAGCCTCAATCGAAGCGACACCGTATTTCATTATCTCAGCCGGATGTACAAGAAAATGTGAGTCGACAATGGTGTAGTAAAAGAAGCCAAATTAGAGGTGTTCGAAGGACTAGCAATGTAAATGAGAGGATCAATATTTAGTTCTGGTCGAATGCTTTCTTCGAAAGGATTATAAATTAACACGTTGAAGATACCCCGTTGTGTGCGCATCTACCACTCTTTTTACAAATTTGAATTAATAAACGCGACCCCATCAATACTATTTATAATTGTTGGTAATGGAGCATTTTTCGTATCCGATAACGTATATGGGTAGTTTCAAAACATAAAAATGGAGGCACGAATTAACCCTTTGACGACAATGCGGATTTGCACGTAGCGTGCTCGTGGGACCACGCCTCATTTTTGGCGCGCCCAACTTTCGCTCAAAATCAGGTAAAATTGTCCCTTAAAGCAGTTTTCCATCGAATAGTCGACTTTTGTGATGTACTAGTATAACTACAGTTCTAAGCTTGCGTATTTCACTCTGTTGTAAAATGAATGGGAGGTCCGGAAAGGAAGCTCGGATTTGAAAGGGGTGGAGGGTAAAAACCCTATAACTTAATGTTTACAGTAGAATTTGGGATACATTCTGAACCAACCACATGTGTCCCAAGACTACGGAAAGCTGAAGAAGCCGTGATAGTGATTAATCTTCAGCAGCATAACCATGCCAAATTCAATTACAATACCGGCGAGCTAAATGCTACATTCTAAAACTAGATAAAATTTCTCGTATGGAACATTTCTACGATTCGTGCTAAACAGGTACAGGAGGTTGCTAAATATTCGCTGGGTCTGTTAAAAATGGATTTAATCCAGGCAAAAGAGGAAACTTTTAAGGGTGGCACCCTCTGGTGGGGTGGCCATGTACCAACGCGATAGACCAACAGTGCCCCACTGGTGAGGGCCAGTGTCGCCAAAGGGTTAAGCAAAATAAGTCTCCTACGTGTGAAAGTGTGGGGCGTATGTGTCCCATCTGTCAATGTATTAAATGACAGAAAGAAGTAAGAAAATAAATAATTACCCCAAAGCAACCCAATAAGACTACTCTCTGACACTGTTGATGGTAATAATCCACCAGGATCCTATAGATCAATTGCCAAACGCAAACCCGGTTTTGATAATTCGAATTCTCTAAAATTTTCTCGACTTTACGAGTAGTAAAGTTCCCGTGATTTGCTGCCGAAAGATAAAAACCCGCAGGAAAGAACGATTATCACGACAATGCAGTATTTTAGACGATCCGTTTCGTTTTGGCTATTTCGTCCATACACGGTGCCATTTAGGTCTGAAAATAGTTTTTTTTTTTGGAATGCTATTGAGTGGATCAGAAAATGTGGAAGTGGTAAGAAGGAGGGGGCTTCATTTGACCCCAATCCTACTGGATTTGGGCATAAGTCTCGCTAATGCATATTTTTCGATTTCGTGGCTGAGATTTCTCTCGTACTACAAATTGGCGGAAAATAAGGAAGCGTTTACCACACCCAGAATAATCGGTCTCGTTGTCGATTCTTTAGTTCGCATCGAAAGTTATACTGCATCTGTTGGGTGGCAAAGACCCATCCAGAAGCGAGTGTCGATCTCCTTCAGTCAAAAGAACGGCTCCACATAATTTCGCCGCAGCATAAATATTCGTCAGTTGTGTGAAGGTTGATATGTGGACCTGATGAGTAATTGAATAGAATTTGAGTGAAGAATCCCCCCCCCCCCCAAAAAAAATGTTGGCATTGTTTTCCAACCGTGAATGTGTTTTACGTTGTGCTCACTAAGAGACAAAACAGAACGGCGTGCCAACAAGCTCACGTAAGCGCCACTCATAAGCCAGTTGGAAGGTATTAGTTCGCGAGGCGCGGCATAGGCGAGGCACGGAAAGAAGTGCGGCTTGTGTTTCAGCCAGGCGACGCATTGGAACAGTTAGGTTGGAGCATGCGATTTTGGAATAGAGACAAAACAATCGATGGAATATGATGCTGTAGAAGTGGATCTCTGTGCAATGATTCAAAAGGCCAAGAAGAGCTTCTAGTGACAGCAGTCCGTGACCAAGAGAAAGTATTTCGGCCGCCTTGTATCAGATGTTTGTGGGATTTGAAGCGCGCAGCAGGCCTTGTCGGTTTTTCGAATTGTTCACTAATACAAATGCATACAAATGCATTTTCGTTGTTCTCTTCACGTCTTTTCGTGTACTGGTCTCAAGCCTGTGATTGAGATAGGGATCAATGGTTTTGCTGGGAAAGCAATTCCTTCGAAGCAACATCCCGATCAACTTTGTGGGCAAAGCGGTCGGCAGTGAAATTGTGGATAACAAGTTGACTGTGAATGGAAAAGAAACTAGAGAAAATTTGCCGATGAAGCTTCCTAAACAGCAACTCCCTCCTCTTCACCCTTGAAATAAGGAGCGGGGTGGGACTGGACGAGCTGTCCGAAGTGGTGCTTCGTCGCATTTATCCAGCAATAAATGTGGCTGCAGTCGCATACGCGCCAATTCAAAAAAGGCATATGCACCGGTACAAATAGAACCACGACAATTAAACGAATTAAAACCTCTCATAGAACCAGCAGCATTCGCCTACTCGGCAATTCACCGCTTCGCCCAAGGGCCATGTCATTATTTTGACTTGTTTTGTTTGTTAACTGCTGTTTTTGGCCGCAGTTCGCGTTGCGAATGTTTCACAAGAATGCTGGGTTGTGAACAAAACTTTCGCCCCAGGCGGGACTAGAACCCGCACCTCTCGCTTTCCGGGCAAGTGCTACTACGGGTTAAAACAGTTGCGGCGTTATAAAACAGCCGATCACGCGCTCTACGGCTAGCAGGTGGGCGGATCAGTGGAAAAGGCGGATCGGTCCGGTTGGCACATGTCTCCTAGCGACTTCCCAAGGTAGTTTTTTGTTCAACACTCCTTATTTTCTTGGCTAGGGCTCACGCATATTTTCAATAGTGGCAAAAGTATGGATCTCGCTAGGGTTGTTGCTTGAAGGGTTTTCATTTTCTTCCAAGTATTCTGTGGGTGATTTGACAACATCGTTTGCTCCTTTTGGGCGTTGCGCAGAGCTATTCGTTTAAGCTGTTGATCTACCTTCTGGGCTCTAGGAGTGCAGTCAGATCAGGTTAACGGCTGGACCTTTTCAACGGGGAAAGCTCACTGTACTCGGCAAGTAAAGGCAGTGATTACCATAAGGAGGAGCGCATCGGGGAAGCAAATGCACCACAAGAAGTAGTTACTTGGCTGCCAAGGAAACGAGATGTGGCGCTTCCGCAAGGTGCGCGCTGAGGTTGCTGAGCAGGGACTTCGAACTCCGCCCCCAAAAGCGATCCGGGGGTGGGGGGGGGAGGCCGCCACTAGTGCGTGGTGATTAGGCACGAGGTTGCTAGTAGCGGCAGAACTAGAGCAACTCGATCGACCGTTGTTTGGCATGCTGCCACCAAACGCATTGCGGTGAACTCGTTCATACGTCCGATTTCTGAACTGTCGCCTGTTCATGAGTGAAAAAGAATCGCCAAAAGGGTCCCGTATTCTCCGGCTTTCCTTTCGCCACTGCGTGCCATTGTGCAACATCACGTCTCCTTCTCTTTGAACGCCTTCTCAAATCCATTGTAATCTGCCTTTAAGCGCCAGATGCAGAAGTTATTGTGATGAGAGCGAATGAAGTTGTACATAGCAGAAGGGAAAGGTTGTCTACAATTTACTTCAAACGACGGAAATGGAAACGACTTACGCATGATGGGTTTAGAATCTTTCTTTCGATACATACTTTCGGATTCTGATTTCGCTACTCTCACTGATACTAACATGAATCAAGTGGAATAAGATTTTTTTTAGCAAACTGATAAAATGACATACTTATTGATAAATCTATTGTATTTGTCGCCAAACTCCAACCGGTGTGCCACTCAAGCGTGTCATAGTGTTTGAGGGCGCAAGTAAGCAGGCGCACCTAGTTGGCAGGAGTTTGTGGGCTAGTGGATCAAGAGGAAAAAGGGTCGAACATAAGTAATCTGGGAGCAACAACCAGTGTGTGAGTTCGAATGCAGGAGCGAGGATCTATTCTGTTAGTCAAGGGGGGGGTGGCGGAAGGTAGTTCATGCCGCAAGCAGTTATACCATATTTTGACAAGGTGCGTGAATCATTGCGTTTCTGCCGCTGCACGCCCCCTTATTGGAATACACCTTGAAGCAGTCTACGGCATCCATGTTTTCGCTTTTCAATCACGTTTTGAACCATTAGAGTAAAGAAAAGAGGTTGCCTGTTTATTAAATTGTCAAGAAAAAACTCACATTAGGTTGCCATTTTTCGTTTATCCTCAGTATGGCAGCCATTGCTTTAGCGAATTCGATCTTATCGGCGAAAATGTAGAAGGCTGTCAGATTCTAGGATAATTCTTTTCAGAGCACATCACGCTACCAATGGCGGTTTGTTCCTCACCGTTTTGATGGCGACATTACGTGCTGCTTTGACAATATCGTGCATGCTGTGGTCCGTCTCATGCCAAAATGGAACCCTCTTCCCAATGTGAACACAAACAGCGAAATGACGGTCATGTCTGTAATTGGGAATGATCACTGGAAATTCGAAGCCTGTTTCTATGAGAGTAAGCTAAACTAAGAGATCTGGGCGTATGTGTTTTGTGCTGTCTTCTTGTGTCACAAATTGCCTATGGGTAGCTAAGACGCTGGTCCCGACTTGACGAATTCGTCCCGGCAGAAACGCGAAGGATCGATGGCCATGTTTCGTGGTTTCTAGGGCCAAAGGTGCAGTGTGCGGTCGGTCAGTCTAACATGTAGGGGACACGATTGTCAGGCCCTGTTCGTAGTTAATCGCCTACGCAAGAAAAAAAACCCACAGGAGGAATAGGATGAAATACATATATCTGTTGGCAAAAACGCAGAGGAAAATCGTGAAGTGGGAGGATCGACGAAAATGAGTTACATACGTATCGACTCCCGACGCTTCGCTCTTGCCATCTCCGTTTCTTAAATCGATACATATCAAACTCTTGACTGAAATTCGCCTGCTCCGAACGTTTCGCTTATGCTCTCCCCAGTTTCCCAGTCGATGCCTATCTGAATCTTGACGGAGATTTTCATTCTATCTCGCCTGTGCGTTTTTTTTTGGGTAGGGGTAACTCTAAACAGCGCTTGACTGTCGTCCAAAATTGCCTG